TAACATCTATTTAAGTACCACATATGCAAGAGAGACTGTCCTACGTGATGAAGTAATTTGCAGCATTACTATATACATACTGTTTAAGTTCCCAAGTAGATCATCTGGTTAGATATTAAATGAAATCTAATGTTGACTGCTTGGACGAGCTATCCATTGTTTAATTCTGAACCCTTCTTAGAGATACGGATATAGTTGCCTGTGTATCAGAGAGTATATCTGACATTTATTCTTTCAGTTTTCTTGCATCTGCTGTCAACTGGAAGCCCTTACCATTTTTCAATCAGTTGCATATTTCTCTCCAAATATTTTCCCTTGCTTTAAGCTTTTAGACTAAAACTTAAGGTAATACATGTTTTTCTCATTGAATTTTGATTACATTGAATCTGCAGATAGCTTTACGTGGTATGAACACTAAGAATATTACATCTTCTAATTCATGACATAGTATGTCTCCCCATTTATTTGTGTCATCTTTAATTTCTTTTAGCAATGTTTTATGGCTTTCATTAATACCTTATTCCTCTTTATGGCCAAATAATGTTTCATTGTATCTATGTACCATAATTTGTTTATCCATTGATTAGTTGATGGACTTTTGGATTATTTCTATCTTGACTGTTATACAGATATGTATATAATTTTTTGTGTAGAAATACTTTTTCATGTCCTTTCAATTTATCCTTGCCTTCTAAGAATAACTGAATTTAAATAATAGTAAGGACTCCTCTGAAAATCCAGGCTATTAAAGAAACATTTTCATATCACCAATATTTGCGGCTTTGATTAGACACAAACGAAATAAAAATACAGTCCACTTTCTTCAAAAGCTTAAGGAACCAAACACATACTTTCTCATACACAACAACTGGAAAATTCTTACACATAAGCTTTGCAAATAGTTGCAGATATATCACAAATTGAACATATAGTTGCCTAGTTAACAAAACATATACAGGAGTAGTGTTTGAACTGGTAATAATCAAGGAAAACTTAACTATCTTGAATGGTGTCTTGAAGTAGATCATGGAACATATATTGGTAATAAAAAGGAAAATGATAGTCCAAGTTTAGGGAAGTCATAACTATAAGCATGGATATCATAAACATGGTACTAAAAAAAACAGCTTGGTTAGAGCAGAGGAGTCCAAATGGGGAGTAGTAAGAGCAGAAGTTAGCAAGATGTCCCTCTCTATTTTATGTCCTCTTCGGATGAAGTTGTTTGCATTTGATTGATAGAACCTTTCTGTCTAGTTACCTGACATTTCCCTCCATAATCCTAATCATTTATTGATTCAGTCATTCAACAAGCATTTACTGGGTCCCTTCTAAGTACCAAGTACCATGCTTGCTCCTGGGGTTCAAAGATGAGTGAGATATGCTATGACAACAAAGAATTCACAACCTGATGGAAAAGTCAAGACAGTTTTATAAACAACCATAATACAATGTGCAAAATGTACAAAAATGGATATAAATGTTATGAAAATATAAAGAATAAACGCAATACCTCCAAACCATTTTATATGTCACTAGAGAAGTTCCTAAAAGGCAGATTTCATTATCTCTGAAGAGACTTTGACTCTGCTGGAAGATTAACTTGAAGTCATTACTCTGCTTAAAAATCCTTCATTGGATTCCCATTTTTATAAGATTGTTTAAACTCCCTTGATCCTGCACCATTTGTCTAAAATGCACACCCACACACCCACGTGGTTCTTACTTACCCTTTAAATCTCAGCTTAGATGTCATCTCATCTATGAAGATTTTCTTGATGTTCCACAAATTCTTGGTTAGGTGACTTTTGCTGTGTGTCTCCCATATCACCCTGTTTGTATCTCTGTCACTGCCTATATCATACTATTTTGTAATCATCTCTATTTCTCCATCTTCCCCTGTCTCACAAACACTGTTACATGTGAATTCCTTGAGGAAATCAGCCAGGTCTTACTAGTTTTTTTGTCTCCAGTGACTAGCATATAATACATTCCCAGTCTTTGATGAATGGATAAGTAAATCAGTCAATAAACTTATTTGTGTTGGTTAGAGACAGAAAACCAATGACATGAAATCTAAGATGAACCTTGAAGGATATATGAAATACACCAGAAAAGGGGAAAGAAAAAAGGTATTCCTGTCCAAGTTAACATTATCTACAAAGGCACAGAAACAAGAAAAAGCCCACCATGTTTTAAGATATGATAAATCATACTTTGTACCAGAAACTGGACACTTGTCAGAAAAAAAAGTCGATCTCAGTATGAACATTTCCCGTATTATGCTAGCCAAGTCTTAAGCTTGGATAGCAGAATTCTTAGAAGAAGATTATTTCTTATTATTATTATCATTATTAATTTGTAGCCTAATGAAGCATGGATCGGTTGTAACATATAAATAACTCTGTTATTCCTTGTCATACATACATCTTCTCAATCCAAAATTGTTGTTTCATCTTCATCAGCAATTTGAGGGCTCCTTTTTAGTGTTTATACATATGGTAGGATGTGGGGGAGGGCAATTATTATTGGAAACTTCCAGAGCAGTTTTTACTTTAGTTTCTAGAATCAAATTTCATAAAATTATAATTAAGTAGACGCTGTACCTTAGGAACCCTCCAGATTGGAATTGCACATTAAGATCTATGAGTAACTCAGGAGTTAAACAGAAATCAAGTCAGCAGATACTCTTTTTTCCAAATTGGCTGTCATTGAGATCTTAGTCAACTTCCCCACTTCTGTGTGTCCAAATCTTGCAAAAGCAGAAAACAATCAGTATTCCTGTTCTTGGAGCATTATGTTAATTTATTTTTTACATTTTAAACCACTATGATATCTACAACTGCTAATAACAACAGCTGTGAAAAGAGGTACACAAATATCCATCCAAGTCTGTGCTCTCAGTTCTTTTGGATATATATATACCTAGAAGTAGAATTGCTGAATCATATGGTAATTCTGTTAAATTTTTTGAGGAATCACCTTGTAGCTTTTTTAAATGTCAGAATATAGCAGTAGAGGGAACACAAATGATAGTAGCTGTTGCCATTTTAGTAAGGATTAAAGTTCTAAGTCTAAATTTCAATCCTACCTTAGCCACTTACGAAATATATGACCTTGGATAAAGTGACTTTTCCTGTTTAAACTCTTTATTAATCTAGAAAATGAATATAATATTTCACTAGATTTCTGTGAGGATTAAGTGAGATTATATATGTGATATTACTCAGTGATTTATAAAATGCTGTATAGGCATTTACTAGATCAACTGGACCAGCTGCCACATGGGTGTCTGCTGTCTTTGATTACTAACTACTATTACTGAACTATTCAAAATGCCAGCAAAGTTATTCTCTTAGGTTCTGAGCTGGTGTAGTTTATACTTTCATTTGCCACCCCAGGCCAGATTAATCCCAGATAAGGAGCCACCCCAAGAGGTTTATTGTGAATCTGTGTAAATGCCATGGGGCTCACTACCAGGAACTGCTTTATAGCTTCAGGTTCATTTGGAAGCTAATGTTGTATAGGTAAATACAAGCCACACCCTCTGATTCCACCACTTGCCTGGTCTTACAAAAGTGTGGTCCATACCTCCAGGCTAGTTCCAAAACAGCTTCAACTTCCTAAGAGTATCTGAAGGTAGAATCTGCTAAATTCTCTCCTAATTCAGGTCACTTCTTTAAAAGGAAAGAGTCACTATCACTATTGTTATGGATCAGAGTACAAAATTTAAAACCTCTTTGTACTTATTTCTAGTTCCTGGCATATAGAAACCAGAGGTCCTAGGTACCTACAAAGGACAAAGCTAAAATCAAAAAAGGGACCCATACAGCTCTGGAAACAGTGGAATTTTCTAAATTATAGAAACATCTCATATAAATCAAGTCCTGTATTACTTAGAGTCTTTGAAGAGAAGCTTGATTTTTTTTCTCTTCCTCCTCTTCTCCCTTCTCCATATCCTATTTATTGTTCTTTTACTTGTTCAAAATAACAATAATAATAAAGATAGATTCTGACTAGAGGATTTAAGAAATTGGTCATCACTCTTTGAAACTTTTATTCTTGTTGGCACTAGTTTAAATTCCAGATCTCTAGCCCAAAATAACCCACTATCCAGAGTAGTTTGAATAGTCACTTCACAAGATAGTTTACTGGCCCTCTTCTTATAGTCACTAATTTTTTAGGTTAATAAAGCCAAAATCAAGGGCTAAAATTCAGATGGAAAGATAAGGAAACTCACCCTTTTTCTTTACTTTCCTTAAGAAAACTTTCTCATTATAAAAATTATATGTGATCATTATAGAAAACTTGAAAATTTTCAGAAAAGTATAGCAAGGGGAATAAAAATCATATGTAAGTCTAACATACCAAAATAACAAATGCTTTATATTTTCATGTATGCTCTTCCCATCTTTTTATATTGATATGTATACATCTAAACATAATTAAGATTATACACTACATGTGCAACTCTGCATGTTTTGTAAACATGACATAAGAATTTTTGTCAATTAATTTTCTTCAAATATTACTTTACCCTGCCTATTTAAGATCCTATATTACTGATCTTTCAATTTCTTTTCATTTTTCACTAATATAAACAACTCTGAAATAAACATGTACATAAAGATTTATCTGTTTTCTTAGGGTAGATTTCTAGTGAAATTACTGCATCAACAGATGTGAACATGTTTAATTAAGAATTGGCTTTTAAAGAAAATCATCTTTGAGTTGTTAAAGGATTAATGACACATCAACTTAAACACATCTTTGATGACTGTGTAGCTACTCATATTCAAACTGTCTCTGCACATATTATTAATTGACTGTATCTAATCTTTGATTTCAGACACTAAGATGCATCTCCTCCTTGGGATAGAAATCAGGAGGTCTGACTGAGCCCAAGCCTTGTCAGACAAGTACATATGCCCATCTTCTTTATGACTGCCTGTTTAACCCATTGTTCTCAACATCCATATTTTCCTTCTTTTTTCTTCTTTCAGATGGAATGGGGAGAGTCCTTGCCCAAGATGTATATGCAAAAGACAACCTACCCCCCTTCCCAGCATCAGTAAAAGATGGCTATGCTGTCCGAGGTAAATATTTTGGTTTTCTTGAGTATCATTATATACTGTTTCTTTGTTTTTTGTTTGTTTTTCAGCTTTTTGGCTCAGCTTAGGCACCCAATGACTGATTACATCTGTTTCCCCCTCAGTTGTCAACATAATTTCATTCATAGATAACAGTATTAATCTATATTCATATATTTTCTGGCAGAATTTAATTAAAACCTTTCAGTGAAGGTACTATAATTACTTGAAAATTCTTGTTTACAACTAAATATGTAGAGACTGATTAAAACACTGTACCATAATTTTTTCTTTCAGCCTTTGTCCATACTAGATAGCAGTCTTCATCTGAAAGTTTTCTAAATATTTCCTAGTTGAAAGCATTTATATGGTTCCATGAAAGAAGAGCAGATTCCCCAACACAGGGATAAAGTGGGGTAGTCTTTTCTCCTGCTTTAAACTCCAACATCAATAACGGCATTATAAAAAGCAAGCATGAGGGAAACTTCTAATTCCCTGGGAGATGGCATATTTCAAAGCTCTGAATCCCCGCATGATACCAGCAGCTCACACCTTCATTGTTGCCTGAGATTACATAAAGCTTAAAAGCAAATTCTAAGTAGTATTTGCATGCCCCAAGTCCAATCTAAAACCCAAAATGAAAATGCAACTGAGTTGCTTAGAAACTATTATTGGTTTACAACTTAAGGTTTCTATCATTGAAGAAATATCTAAAAACGTTGTGCCATCTATCAGAGGTGTTAAGAATGCCAATTCCTTTTTAGTGGTCATTTACAGCATCTCTTACTTGGTGGTGGTGGTTGTTTACTCTGTCCAGCCATTAAAATAATTTCTTCTTTTTTGTAATTAAATGAATTCATTAATTTCCTCCATGGTTCATCACTATCATTTCTTAGCAGTATCTTTTTATGTTGGAGGCAATATAGCAAATGGTTAAGGCTTTGAGCAAAGTAAGAGTGACCTGGGTTCTAGTACGAGTCCCACCTATGTAACTTTGAGCAAATCACTTAAACTTTTTAGCCTCAGTTTTCTCATCTGTAAAACAGCAATAATTACAACAGTACTTACCCCAACATGCTGTTGTGAGATTAAATGAGACTGTGGAAAGCCTTAGTAAACTACCTAGCACCAAAAGAAAAAAGTGTTCAATAATTGTTTCAAAAAATATTTAATGACAGTAACTATTATTATCAAATCCCACTTACTTAGATCATCTCTGAACAAAGAATAACATTCATCTAAATTATTACTCTCAGATTCTATGGAAATAAAATGGTAAGGAGATTAATTTATATTAGGTATTCTTTCTCAGGAACACTATCTTGGATGCAGCTTGAACTCACTAAATTAGAGTATTTCTGAAGACATAAATAACAAATTTGCAGAGGCTCGTATGTTTTTTTCTTCTAATTTTTTTCCTTCTTCAGTGTTTATTGTAATGAATATTATCCAGACAGGAAATTATTTTATTCTTCTGATAGCCTCATTGCTCTGTTTTTCCTTATTCCCCATCTACAATGTAAATTCGGTTTTGAACTTATAATTGGCAGCCATGTAGGATTACTGTAAAATAACAAAGAATTCTCACTTCTACAGTAGAACAAATGAAATACTAAGTGAAATACCAAGGGACGAGAAAGTCTATAGTTTACATTCTTGGTAATATAAAGTAGGAGTGAGAGAATTAATTATTTGAGGCAGAATTATTCTCAAAAAGAATGTTGTTTTGTGATTTTTGCATGAAGTAGCAGCAGCTCAACAAACAAAAACTATTGCTCTTAGATTTTCTAGTTGCCAAAAAGAGCAATTAGTCCACATGAGCCATAAGAGAGCCTCTCTGACACTATAGAATCTGTCAAAGACATTTTTATGTAAAATTACCATTCACTATCTCATTTATTCTTTTGTTTTGAAGTGGTGTTTTTAATTATTTCACACATACACACAAAATCTAAAATAACATCTCACTGTATAAGAAGTTCAGTGGTTCAACAGATTGTCTACCATACAGTTGATTCACATTATTTCTTTCCTGTGATGTGTTGCTAGTATCTCTAAGATATGGAACATATAACAGAGACATAAAACATAATGGACAACCGTTGTGAATATGGTTAAATATCCAAGTGGAAATGGTTGGTGTGTCTGTATATCAACATTATAATTAAGGCAGTGAAAGTCATCAGTGAGCTAAGAAGCATGGTCTTAGGCCTTTCTGTGTTATAACTGCCCCACAGCAGTGTTCTGGTAAATAGCCTTTAGGTTTGGTTATGACTCTACCACTCTACTCCTGTGCCTTCTTTCCACCCCATCTTCCTTTACTCCCACTCTTTTCTCCCCACTCCCTTTATTCTCCCTCTTTTTCCTTCTCCTCTGCCTTTGCCTTAGCCTTCCATTAATAACGAGTGGCACCTGTGAGCATGCTAACCCCCTAGGTGTAAAGAGGTTGCTAATTTGCTCTGGATCACTAAGCATTAGCTAGTATCTTCAGAAACATGTGGGATAAAACTCCAAACCAGTTGGAGGATCGCCTGCTTTAAGGTATGTGGGTTGAAAAATCAAAAGACAGCAAAAATGGCTAAGGAAATAAGAAACAGAAACAGCTATTAAAAAGAAAGAGAGAATAGAGTGTAAAGAAGGCAGGAGAGTGATGATGATACAAGTAATAGGAAGACCTATAAGCTGATAAGCCTAAAACTACATTCAAGAGGGAGAGAGTTTTAAAGATAAAAGCTAAGAAAAGAAAATGAAAGTAGCATATTACCAAATAGAAGCAATACAATCTTTTTATTCTTCATATTTTTGAAGTTACTTTTCCCTTCACAGTGATTAAGCTAATCATCTTGATGCATTCACACCCTGCTGTAGGTGTTGTACCCATTGTCTCACAATTTCTTCTTGAATTTTACTAAAGGCAGAAATATGTCAATCTCAAGTTCAGCTTTATTGAAAATGTTCAATTTGAAAGGCTTATCTCTTCAGAATCTGTTTTGGGATCATTTAGAAAAAGGGAAAATTATAAACAAGCCAGTAATTATTCTGAGAACAATGTATAACAAATAATTATAAAGGATATATGTCTTACCTGAAGGTTTCAGCCCCTGGCAAGTTCACTATGGATTCAGAGAGACCAAGAAATGACAACAGAACATGAACATGCTTGGGGTAAAAGGGTTTATACCTGGCTTTATTTTCAAGGCAGTAGGTCTTGAAGTGAAATCATGTCTGCAGGTCTGTAATCCACCTCTGTCTCCGCCTCTGCCCAGAGCACTAGATGGAGCTCTTGTATAGTGACTCAGTCAGTAACAGCTCATTGTCAACAGATGTGGAAGCATTAACCTAGCAGTAGGCCGGCCAATTACACCATCAAATAGTTGAGGGTCAGGTGAGGATCCTGGCCACAGAAACTTCTATTTTTCCCTACACTCCACCCCTCCAGGATTCTTGCCTCACAATCTACATGCCCTCAATCTTCCGCGGTGGTCCCTGTGCGAGAAAGCTGGAGCATTATAACCAGATTCCACAGCAGCAATAGAAGATAACAACACTATACAGATAACAACAAAAATTATGATACAGGTAACAAATTATAATAATCCCGAAGCCTGAGGAAATCAGCTGCCACCAAGTGGTCATTCCAGCTGTATTCAAACCAATTCTACTCATGGGTTCATGACTCACACCCTCTAAGGGAGAAATCAGTCTTCTGCAGTGGTCCCTATCTGAGAAAGCTGGAACATTGTAACAACAAAAATTATAATAATAATAATAATAGTAGTCATCCTCAAGCCCAAGGAGCTCAGTTGCAACCAAGTGGTCATCCCAGCTGTATTCAAACCAGTCCCAGTTCAAGATTCACCCTTTCCACAGGAGGAGTGGCAGTACTGAGAGGGAGCTCCATGCACTCCCAGCAAATAGCAATTTTTGCTAGGGTGTGTGCCCAATCTACAAAGACATTAGAGGAGATTAACCCTAAAGGTGATACAACACATGTTTTAGTGACATTAACATAGCAAATCTTGTCCATCAGAGTGTGGTCCTGTGATAGGACCATGGCAGGAAGCCAGTCCCATCTGGGTCTAGTATACCATGCCTTTACCCATCTCCATGTGGGGCTTACTGAGGGGTCTATCTATAGTGCTACTGGAGGTGCATGCACTGGCCATAATGATAAAACTCCCTGGTAAGATGCACCTACCTTCCAGCCATTTTGGATATACTACTGTAATTTTGGGGGGTCACTTTGCTTTTACTCAAGGAATACAGAGGAGGCCAACTTCCAGGCCTCTTTTGTTAAGTCCACTGGTCTTCACAACATTCAGAAAAAGCAACCAGAAGTCCAGTAGCTGTGTCCACATAAGTCATGGTATATTGGTGGGCTTCTGACACAGACAGTGGCCAAATATAGTCTATCTTCCACCTGACAAAGTATATCTGCCCCTTAGCTATTGTCCCATATTGCTGTGGGACTCGTGGTAAGTCCCTTTTAGAGCATATAACGCACTCCTGCTAGGCTCTGCTGACTTCTTCAGAGATCAAAAGCAGGTCCCACTGATGGACTATAGAACACATTGTCTTCTAACCCACATGTAATAAACATTGATGTAACCACTGGGCCATATCAGAGGCAGGCTTTCCTTCTAGCCAACATATCTGGGCCAATTCATCTACTTCATCATTTCCTTGGATGATAGCAGCAAATGGCCTGTCACATGATATACTGTAACTATTTTAGTCTGACTAGAGGCCCATAAGTCTTGCCAGAACTCTTGACCCCAAAGGGGTCAGTGACTAACCAGCCAGTTGGCTTGGTACCATGTCAGTAGCCACAGAGTCAAGCCTTGATAGATGGCCCAGCTGTCAGTGCAGATAACTACGGGGGAGGGCTCCTGGCTGATCACGAGCCACACTGCCTGCAACTCTGCCCATTGACTGCTTATCCCCTCACCATATTCCATCAAGATTGTCTCAGTCTTAGGATGGAAAGCTAAGCCCTTCATTTCAGG